AATGCTCAGCCCTACTGTAACTATCATTATTTGTACGGCGAAGAAAACGCAAAAGGTCTTTTCAAGAAGCTGCGCGAATCTGCGGCAAGCAAATTTTGCGACACGTATCGATAATTTCTTGGTTTTTTTTCTTTATACGTACATGTTTTAGTGCAATAATATTGCACTCACTGTAAAGCTCGCCAATGCGCATACACGGAGACTGCGAATTTCTGATCGTATACATCATTATTTATTGTGTCGTTGCGATCAATACGTGATAGAATTCCGAATCTAAATCTGCGAACATTCAAGCAATTTCGTTCCACATAATTAGTCGTAATTCAGAGGATGCGAGAGAAAAAAGATTTCATCTTACCCAGCCACCGCGAAGACGCTGCAGATGTGCTGGATGCAAATCAGAAGCATGCAATCGTGCGCAACCATCGCTGTCATACTTATCTCCATGGCTACAAGAGCGTGGAAGAAAATATAGAAAAAGTATTTTTCGCCGTCCACGAAATAATAAGACTCGTAAGGCATAAATATGGGCCGGGATTCGTTGAGAGGTAAAATGGCATTTAGTACGTGCGGTATGAGACTAATTGATAAAAATGCACCGACAGATATGTAATAAAATACTGCAACAAAAGAAATAATCGTCCGTGATTCGTTAAAACAAAAATAATATTAAGCGACTAACCCTTACAGCAATATGCCAAAGAAAGTAATCTTGCATTCGCGGCATACGTTTTCATAATATCTTGCTCATCAGCGCCTTCCAATTTCTTCCAGTCGCTATCCAGACGATCAATGAGATCTTTGATCTATTGTAGAAACACCCTCGATAAATGCGAAATCTTATCGGACAACCCACCGACGATCGTAAAAAACCGCGATCGCGAAGGGCGATAAAAATTCGAATAATCATCTATTGACTAATTATGTATCATATAAATCTCAGTATTGGCCTACTTTGCTACTGTTAAACTGGCACGCGTACAGCTTTACCAGAAACATAAGCTGCAACATAATCGATGGTACGGTCAGCATACTACATCGCAAGTTTCCGTCGCACTGAATAATTTTGAAAATCTAGAAATATATTAGATATTAAATTCCGTCTTGGACAATCTATATTTTTGACAAGTTTCATAGAATTCTAATTACTTTGTATACGCGTGCATTTTGGTATATATTTAATATTATTTTTTAACAAGTCAAGAATATAATTCTATCCTGAATTTTGTCGAATTATATATCGTCCAAAACGATGTATAATTCTTAACAGATGTGGACATCATTGCCTTGCCGATCGTATTTTAAACAACTTTTTTATGCATTTCAATGACTATTAGATTTACAATTATTTATTTATATTATATTTATAAAGAACTAGCATAGCGTGGTAGAAATGTTACGAGAAACTTCTCTGGAACCATTGGAACGATCAGCGAAACAGCGGTCGCAGTCACAAAGCTCACTCGGAACAACCTCGTTCTTCTTTCTTGATAAGGCCACTGGCC